CAGACTTCGGTAAGTTTTTCAGGGATCACATAGCTATAATAGTAATATATTATATTATAGATAGATATATATATATGTATACTAAATTTTCTTAAGTCAAATGCCAAAAAAAACCAAATTGACATTTTAAATAGCGTTAAATTTTTGATGGATGTGGACATGCAGTTGAAGTTGAAAAATACCTTCATCTTTGAACACCAATAAGACATTAATATGCATGAAGCTAGTCTAAATTTTGAGTGTGTTTGTGTATGTGTTCATTTTGTATCAAAAGTTACATGAGCTGTCTTTGTTTGTACATTAGAGTTATCAGCATGTAAGCTCAAAGGTAAAGTCACCTGCAACAAGCTGTTTTACAAGAGGAATTTTGATTTCAACACCTAACAACTACCGTTAAAAGGCTTGTATAGTCCACGGTTTTCTTCTCCAAAATTGACCCTGACAGCAGGGGTGCGGACTATAGAGTACAATAAGCAAAAAATAAGAGAGAAAATTTCAATTTCGCGATGTGGTTTGTTTACGTTCTGCCATGTTTGTTATTGACATTGTAGAGGGCGCTCTTATCATTTTTCAAACCAATAATTTTACCCAATCCATATTAATAAGTTATTTTTATTCAATATCAAATTAATACTGATAAATTTAAAAATTAAATGCTTCATTACAAAATTCTCGTTTCTTTTCAATGCATTGCTAAATATAAACTGGTATCTACTTGAATGAAATCTTACAAAAAAAGAAAAGAAGACAACCATAATCCAGCTTACGATGTGTAAACTACAAAACGTAATCGGTTATTATTCGTTCCGTTTTGGTGTTTCCTATTGACAAATATGTTTTGTATTAGATTAAGACCCTTCAAACATTAATGTGATAGATATATTAAACACTGTTTTACATAAGGAGGGAACTGTTTTACTTTCAAAGTCGTATTATAGTGATATCTATTATGTACGGATTACGACTCTCACCGGGTTTTTTCATCTTTTACACTTGCTTTTCAAACTTCCGGTTTAAACATACACAAGTTTCTCAATTGTTTTTTGTGTGATTTAGACTTATTTTAACCAGCGTGAAGTGTTTTAGAACCATTTACAAGCAGTTTCAGCTTCTGTTTGGTGATGGAAAATAGGTTTTTCCAAGAAAATATCGCAAACGACCACATACTATTTAGAATTACAGGAGTTTCATTAAGACCTTTTTTAACAGTTACAAAAAGTTTTTTTACCTGAAATTTTGTGGGGAGAAGGGGATGCGGACTATGTACCAGTGCGAACTATACAAGCCCGATTACGGTATCGAAAAGCCCTTGGTAAAATAAAATTTAAATGATAAGAAAATTGATTAACTTCTGAATGATTTCTGCTGTAAGCTTTTAAACAGAGTCATGTTTTATAAAAAAATTCTTATTATATATACATCATTCATATATTATTTTATATTTAAGGTACAAAGCTGAGGAGTTGACAGCTGAGAAAGTTTACTTGTTGTACATGACAATCAGTATATGTTTTGAAACAGTTGGAGATTGCCGTTATTCTTACACTGTATTTGATGGTGTAAAGATTCCCAAACAACCTTGTGACTGGACTGGAGGATATGCTATTCCAGGTCTGTATAATGATGTGATGACACCTGACACATTTCAAGTTCTTTTTATGACTAGCCATATTAAACTGAATTCAGGCTTGAAAATGGAAAGGAAACAAAGCAAGACCTTTGATAAAACTATTTGATAACTGTTATTGTAATTTCATTACTTGAACAAAAAAACATAATAATAACATTATAATCAACTTTTGAAATCCTTCAGGAAAAGTGCAATTAACAAGTCAACCTCAGTTTTAAGTTTTCATTTATGTTTGAGACGATGACAGGAGTGTTAAACTACCTTGACTGGCTATAAAGCCCACGCACGGTTGGTTATGTTTCGGGAGTAATAATCGAGTAAATTATTTTTACATAAATTCTAAAAATTGTTAACATCAATCAAGACTTTTGATATAATGTTACATTTTGATAACACCAGATTTTGATTGCTTTGATACTTGAACAAAATGGTAAATAAAAAAGTGCATAATCAATGCTCCACATCCCTTAAGAAAAGTGCAATTTAGAGATAACTGAATTGTATTTGAAGCTTTGCGGACGTAAACACAGGGCGTTTTCTGGCTTCTCGTCCACTTCAAAATGAAATAAAATTTGATAAAAAGAAGATTTCTAGGTGCAAAATATGAGTTTTTTGCTTATTACTGGAGAAATTACATGTAAATACATTCTGAAATTCAAAATGTCGGCTTTCTTAGTTACAGACAGGGAGATAGAGAATTTTACGCTTATTGTCATCCAATCAGAAACATTGATACAACATAATTGCATTAGAATTAACAACTTAACCTAAGTTTTGATTATTCATTAATGTTCAAATGGATAATTAAGTTAAATATTTTAACTTTAATTCTTAAAATTGTTTATATCAAACAAATGCATTTCATTTGTTTTTAGGGTTCAATTTGAATTCCTACCTGACTGGACAAGGATATTCCACAAGTACACCTCTGAACTCATTAGTGTCCTCTCAGCTCCTGGAATACCTGGGAGTAGCCAGTTTACTGAATACACCAACACAGCAGTGTCAGATGTCGGATCCTCTCTATACATCACCAACTAACGGCTGGACAAAAGACCCAGGTAATATGCGATATTCAGATCACATTTGTCGCTGGGAAAACTCTCATTTCACAACTGTTTCCGGTGACAATTTACTGGTTTATGGGTGGCTGGTTCAAAGTAGCGTTGACCTGTATAAAAAATCATCAACAAAAGTAAAGTGGTAAAAAGTATCTGGGCGTTTGCAAGTACATTATGGAACTCTTCTGGTTATAGGAGGAATACATTACCTCAGTGTTGAAGCTTATTTGACACTTCCTATTAAATGCAACCCACTTATTATTTGCATCCGTTTGCTTCTCATGTTGTCACATGATTGTTAGCCTGAAAAGAAAATGTGACGCTATGAGTCTAGTGCATAACCACGGAAGTTTGCTGGTTAAACGTATTAAAGTAAACGAAAAGGAGTTTAATTATGTAGGTCAACAAAATAGTTTACTTGCATTATGAATTTCCATAGACTAAACTAGACACTTAATTTTTATACGACTTCAAAAAAAAAAATTTCTGGAAAAGGGGGGGGGTAAAAAATTTTGTTTTTTTTTAGGGGGGAGGTTTGTCAATTTGCAACAGCATAGTGTATTGCACAAAAGCAAAAAAAAAAGGGGGGTAAAGTTGTTTTTTTTGGGGGGGGGGGGGGGAGTCAATAGTGTATTGCACAAAAGCAAAAAATTGAATATAAATTCAAACCATATAACCAATTCTAAGTTCTTTGACTACAGTTATTCTGTGTCAAAAACCTATTATGTGTCAAATATTTAATTACAATCCAAATTCAGACCTGTATCAAGCGCGAATATTGTGTCGATTTTTGCCCCAACTGTTCAGGGTTGGACCTCTGCGGTCGTATCCAACTGCTCTCGGCGAAGCAATTTATTAGAATTAGAATTAGCCTTTGTGAAATATATGTAGGATTAAATATTGTCTGCCATGGAATTATGTCCACCGGACACTTTTTCACAGTAAATTGTGTCCACGGACATAATGTTATGAAATATCGTCCAGACGATATTTACCTATGAAATCGTGTCCACAGATATGAAAAAGTGTCCTTCAAAGAAAGGACAATATTTTATATGAAAAAGTGTCCATCATAGAAAGGACAGTATTTCACATGAAAAAGTGTCCACTCTCAACACATGCAAAATGTATACATAGCTTCAGTTCTTTATCTTAATTGAAATTTTAAAATTAGCATGGGGGTTTTGTCTCTATTAAAACATGGCATGTAAACTGGATTATTGAATTCATACAAAATGTGATCATCACCATGTGTAATTAAACATAAATTATACAATAAAACATGTACTAATACACACATAAACAGTAATACATCTAATAGAACTTAATATGAACTATGTGAATAATAATACATGTAATTCATTTCAATTTACAAAATCATGTAATATTCAAGATTAGTACTCATAAATACTGTTCTTCCTACATTTGGCCTTTTTTGTTCTTTTAACAGGAGTTGTGACAGGAATATCTGCCTGTCTCATTGTCAGTTGAGGCTGGTGGATACTTTTTGTAGACATCTATATAGCTAAGATAATTGAAAATGTTTTGGAATTCAACACCTTCCATTTTTTGTCTGTACGTCCCGAAATTGGTTTCTGTTCTGTAACTTCAGTTTGCCTTAACCAAATGTTATGAAACTTATACACAATGCTTATTACCACAAAACACAGATCAAGTTTGAATTTGGGTGGCGTCACTTTTCCCGTTCTAGAGTTATGCCCCTTTACAAATGGAAAAATTGCTGAATTTTTTGTTTCCGTTCTCTAACTTAAGTTTACCTCAACCAAATGTTATGAAACTTCTACAGAAAGCTTATTACCACAAAACACATATCAAGTTTGAATTTGGGTGGCATCACTTTTACCTTTCTAGAGTTATGCCGCTTTACAAATGGAAAAATTGCTGAATTTTTCGTTTCCGTTCTCTAACTTAAGTTTGCCTCAATCAAATGTTATGAAACTTATACACAATGCTTATTACTACAAAACTCAGATCAAGTACGAATTTGGGTAGCGTCACTTTTACCGTTCTTGAGTTATGTCCCTATATAACGTTATATGCAAGCGGGGGCATCATCTGTGTCCCATGGACACATTCCCCATTTGTCTCCCTTATTGAAAATTAACTTTACAGGACAGAATTTAATAGTATTTTATCATGAAATTATGTCCGATTGAATGGACACTTTCACAGCATCGGACACATTTAAATATACATTTTCTATGAAAAAGTGTCCGGGTGGACACATTTTCACAGGACACTTATATGGCTCACATATACACATAGGTAATTATTTATTTGCAGCTCACATGGACTGTAAAACACAAAAAAAAACCAACAAAATAAATGTCTACAATCATCATTTTTTCTGATAGTGTTGCTGTGTGGAATACTTAAGTGTAAAAAAATCCATCTACTTTTAGCTATTGTACTCATTGCTTGGAATTTAGAGACTCTATTCATCATAATTTTAAAAGAAAAAAACATATAAACAAAATTCAATACTATGCCAAAATTTTTGTGTGTTGCATGAAAAATGAAAAAGAAATGACCGGAAAATGGCTCTGTTTAGGGTAAATTAATAATATTTGTTTTTCAGAATGATTCAAAATGTAAAGAACAAAAATGAAAATTTTGTAAATCTCCATTTAAATAATTATACCCCCGCTTTAAAAAAGTGGGGGTATACTGTTTTACCTCTGTCTGTCCTTCCGTCAGTCCATCCAACCGTCAGTCCATCTGTCAGTCCATCCATCCCATGAATATTTCCATCGCATTTTTCTCAGGAACTACTTGACAAGGATTTCTGAAATTTGGTTTCAGGGTTTTTATAAGTAAGTTACACCGTGTGATGCGTTTTCAAATTCATGTTACACCGTGTGATGCGTTTTCAGATTCATCACTCAACAACTTCCTGTTTACCGAACACTTGTATTATTTTACACATGATAGCCAAGTTGAAAATTTTCGTCACATTTTTCTCAGGAACTACTAGACAAGGATTTCTGAAATTTGGTTTCAGGGTTTATATAAGTAAGTTACACCGTGTGATGTGTTTTCAGATTCATCACTCAACAACTTCCTGTTTACCGAACACTTGTATTATTTTACACATGATAGCAAAGTTGAAAATTTTCGTCACATTTAAGTTGAAAATTTTCGTCACATTTTTCTCAGGAACTACTTGACAAGGATTTCTGAAATTTTGTTTCAGGGTTTATATAAGTAAGTTACACTGTGTGATGCGTTTTCAGATTCATCACTCAACAACTTCCTGTTTACTGAACACTTGTATTAATTTACACATGATAGCCAAGTTGAAAATTTTCGTCACATTTTTCTCAGGAACTACTTGACAAGGATTTCTGAAATTTGGTTTCAGGGTTTATATAAGTTAGTTACACCGTGTGATGCGTTTTCAGATTCATCACTCAACAACTTCCTGTTTACCGAACACTTGTATTATTTTACACATGATAGCCAAGTTGAAAATTTTCGTCACATTTTTCTCAGGAACTACTTGACAAGGATTTCTGAAATTTGGTTTCAGGGTTTATATAAGTCAGCTATACCGTGTGATGCGTTTTCAGATTCATCACTCAACAACTTCTTGTTAAGCGAAATATTTTGGCGGGGGTCTCATCAGTAAGCAGTAGCTCACAGTTTTACTTGTTTTAACATCTATTTTAAACTAAGTACATGTTTTATATATTTCAGGTTGTACATCAGCAGTGGATCTACCAACTCTAGGAAGTAATAGTGTTTGTCACTTATATGACACCTGTACTGGTATATCATGTTGTCTACATTCTACCACTGTTGATAGAAACTTCAATGTCTTCCTCAAACTGGATCCCTGTACACAGAAACTTGACATTGGTATAGAAAAGTACCAGTTTGACTTTTCACTCTACACCTTCACATTTGAGACTACACAGTATTTCCATATTGACAGAGTAATTGAAATTGAGTGAGTACATTTTTATTTTCTTACATGGATACATTTGTTTTGCATGGATAGTTTTTCTTCAGATTATATTATGTATTGACATTCATGTAGCCTAAAAAATGTAATAACTGAGTATTACTTATTTATTTTGCCAAGACTTATTAAAATAAAGGTTTTTATGAACATAGGTGAAATTATTGATAACTGTTTTTTTTTAGTGGGCCACAAATTTTGCATTTTTTCCTGCAAATTTGCAGGTTGATTGAGAATTTGAAAATCAGGTAGATCATCATTTAAGCTTAAAAGGAAAAATGATCTATGATTTCTACAGTATTTTAATTGAAAAGTATCATTTTTGAACATTTCATTAAATTTGTTTGCAGATGTCTAATTTTCAAATTTTGATATAAAACATTAGTAAAAGACATGATGTTCTCTATTTATTTCTTAACAGGTACAAAATAACAGATTTGGTTGGTGAAATGGTCTATCTTGTGGATATGAAAGTCAAGATTTGTTTCAATGACCCTACACCATGTGACTTGCAAGAAACTATAGTTCTGAATACCAAATTACAAAAGATGGTGTGTCCATGGTTTAGAGGATATCCAAATCCAAGTATGCAACCTTTCTTTTATTGCCTACTGAATATGTTGGGAATATTAATCACCATTAGGTGTTACAAGTCCAAACATTAATCTGCATCAATCCATTGGTGTTAGAAAAGGAAAAAAATCAAATTCAAATATGAAAATGAAAATAGATTGATAGAATTTATGTTAGATTTTAGTATTTTTTGGACATTTTGGAAGAAGTTTTAGTACAAATGTCCCTTTCTCCTTCAGATTGGTCCCTTAATCAGTGGTATTTGGACAATTCTTATACACCAGGATCTAACTTGGATTCCTCTACAGCTTCATCTCTGATGGAAGCAACAGAGATAGGAGAATATTTACTTAGTCCTATGATATCCAGAGATGACCCCTTTGGAACTTATGCTGCGGCCTATCTTGGTTGGAGTTCAGGTAGGTGTTTAAAAAAAATTTGGAAAGAGAAGGCTTGATAATAGAAAAGAAAGGATATAAGTCCACCTTTTTGGCTCTGGGAATTTGAAAATCAAAAAGTAATACAAAGCTATTAAATAACACCCTTCAGATGTTGTTGTGACATTTAAGTCTGTCAGATCTCAGTTTTATAGTTTTGAATTGTATCATACTTTTTTTTATTTAGGGCTTGCATTCAGGCATTTCATGCAAAACTGCAAAATCTGCCAAATAGCCTCATTTTGATACGTTGTCATTAATATTTAGATATAAGCTCAAGCCAAGGCTTTACCCAAAAAGATATTTTGCTGCAAGATGTCTTTCACAAAAATGTTAAATTGGATAAAATATCTTTTTGGGTAAGGCTTTGGCTCACAAGTAATTTACCAAAAATTATGTGAAAAACAGCCTTTTTTAGTTAAATATGTCAATTTCAACATATTTATGATATCATAGGGACATCCATATTTTATCACCCTGTAAAACTAATTTAATTTTGAAAAGATGAGGAATTATACTATTTTGTAATTTCTTGCAAATAATGGCTCTGACCATACCTTCTACTTTGTACAACTTCCTAAAAAATAAAACGGAAATTTAATGTAGAGCTGTTCTAATTACTGTGGATTAATTATTATTCGTTGGATACCAATTTTTGTGGATTTCGTGGGTACTGGGGAACCACGAATTTAACTGTTCAACGAATGACATATTTTCTAAAGGAATGTATGCACACTTTGCCAAAGCCACGATATTATATATCCACGAACATGCAACGTTTCCTCAATTCACGAAAATTGGTACCCACGAAAATAAATGAATCCACAGTACCACAAAAGGGAAAGTCTTGAAGAGGTGGAATAAGGGGGAAAATGGTTTTTATTGTGGTATTCTTTGTTTGAGGTATAAAAAGACTATGGAAAGACTTGTTGGAATATATATTGATCTGATAGTGTAACGGTTTATTTCTTCCTCTGTGATATTTTATCCTGGGGATAATTTTTCACAGAAATTTTTTCCAAACATGGTATTTCACAGGAAGATTTTATCCAGAGGAGTGAAATTCTATTTGTCTTATGCGGATAGTATTTACCAGCATATATTTTCTGTTCCATATTTCACAGAACCTTGTGAAATAAAGTCCTACTGTCTACTATGTAAGGTACTCGCAATCAATATATACCTGATCATAATTATAAATGTTTCACCAAGGTAGAACATATTTGCATAATTTATCAATCAAAGGGAGGTAATTATGAGCCTTTTATATTTTACAGATATTATATTCCAGAGACCAGAATCTATTTCATAGTGAAATTTTTCCTTTATTCTTATTTTTATGCCCCTGCAGTAGCGGTGGGGGCATTAAGTTTTACCCTTGTCTGTCTGTACGTACGTACGTCCCAAAGCTGGTTTCCGTTCTCTAACTTGAGTTTGCCTCAACCAAATGTTATGAAACTTATATACAATGCTTATTACCACTAAACACAGATCAGGTCTGAATTTTGGTGGCGTCACTTAAACCGTTCTAGAGTTATGTCCCTTTATAAATGGAAAAATTGCAAAATTTTTAGTTTCCGTTCTCTAACTTAAGTTTGCCTCAACCAAATGTTATGAAACTTATACACAATGCTTATTACCGCAAAACACAGATCAAGTTTGAATTTTGGTGGCGTCACTTAACTGTTCTAGAGTTATGCCCCTTTATAAATGGAAAAATTGCAAAATTGTTATTTTCTTCTAAATATCAAGTAATTTTTTAAATTGGAGTTATCTTCCTTTGTCCATGATTATAGTTGCCTCAACCAAATGTTATGAAACTTATGATAAAAAAAAAATGCTTTTTACCACTAAATACAGATCAAGTTTGAATTATGGTGGAGTCACTTTTACTGTTCTAGAGTTATGCTCCTTTACAAATGGAAAAATTGCTAAATTTTTCGTTTCCGTTCTCTAACTTAAGTTTGCCTCCACCAAATGTTATGAAACTTATACACAATGCTTATTACCACAATATACACATCAAGTTTGAAATTTGGTGCCCTCACTTTTACTGTTCTAGAGTTACGCCCTTTTCAAATGGAAAAATTGTTAAATTTTTCTTTTTTTTTTTTTTCTAAATATCAAGTCATTTTTAAAATTGGAGTTATTTCCCTTTCTCCATGATTATAGTTTAATCAACTACAATCAATGCTTTATACAATGCAATGGTTAATTTTGCCTTCTACTGATAAATTAAAGCATTTTTACCCTTCATTTCTAAAAATATTTTAAAGTCTTCTTTGAAAATTGGAGTTATCTTTCTTTGTGCATAATGGTTGTTGAATCAACTACAACCAATGCTTTATACAATGCAATATTCAATTTTACTTCCTACTGATAAATTAAAGCAATCTTTTCCATTCAGTGCTTACAAGCACTTTGATGACTGTTCTAGGGTTATGCCCCTTTACAAATGAAAAAATTGCTGAATTTTTTGTTTCCGTTCTCTAATTTGAGTTTGTCTTAACTAAATGTAATTTCTAAAAATATCAATGTCATTATTCAAGTAATTTTTAAAATTGGAGTTATCTTCCTTTGTCCATGATTATAGTTGAATCAACTTCAATCAATGCTTTATACAATGCAATGTTTAATTTTGCCTTCCACTGATAAAACACAGATCAAGTTGAATTTGGGTAGTGTCACTTTAACCATTATTGAGTTATGCCCCTTTATAAATCGAAAGATAGCAAAATTTTTAGTTTCCATTCTGTAACTTAAGTTTGCCCATACCAACCATTATGAAACCTTTACCGGTACACAATATTCATTACCACAAAACTAAGATCAAGTACAAATTTTTTGTTTCCATTTTCTAACTTTAGTTTGCCTCACCCAAATGTTATGAAACTTATACACAATGCTTATTACTACATAATACAGATTAAGTACGAAATTTGGTGGTGACATTTTTACCATTCTTTATTTATGTCCCTTTATAAACATGAAAATTGCTGAATTTTTCGTTTCCGTTCTCTAACTTTAGTTTGTCTCAACCAAATGTTGTAAAACTTATACACAACCGTTCTAGAGTTATGCATGTTTACAAATAGAAAAATTGCTGAATTTTTAGTTTCTGTTCTCTATTTAAGTTAGCCTCAACCAAATGTTATGAGACTTACACACAATGCTTATTACCACAAAACTCAGATAAGTTCAAATTTGGGTAGCGTCACTTTTACCGTTCTTCAGTTATGTCCTTTTATAACTATGATATGCAAGCGGGGGCATCATCTGTGTCCACATGTGGACACTATCCACATTTATTTAAATATTAATTTATATAAAAAGATGACTTAAAACATGATTTAAAAAAAAACTATATTTCTACTTACTTTTTTATTTGTACTGAGATCTGAAAACAACTCATTTTTACCTGTATTTCACTAACCTTATTTTATATATTAAATTGATCATTATATTATTTCACAATTAAGGTCTGTGAAATTACTTCTGGTTTTGTTTCATATGTTTCATTATATTTGTCTTTTAAAAGAATGATATTTACTTTAATATTTCAGGATATTATTTTCAATTATAATCTATGAAATCATTTCCCATTATAATACATTTATTTGTTTTTTTATTTACTAATTTAGCTTAAATTCAAATACACTATTATTAGTACATAGTATTTGCAAAGATTAAGTTTTTTTTTTTTATTAACTATTCAATATTTTAACTTCTCAGATAGAATTTCACAACAATGGATAATATATCACAGTGAAATATTTTCCTCCCGATAAAAAAATAACATCAACTTCTGTAACATTTTTTCCCCCAGATGATATTTTATCCGGATAGAATTTTGCTTTACAATAGGAGTCTGCAAAACATGTCACTCTATCATAAGGGGCTGCTAGAATTATGTTATACAAGGGAAAGAGGAAGAAACAGACCCAATGTAAATGATTGGGAAAATGAGGTTGTTATGTAGATTGGTTCTTTAATTAGTGGTATTTGGACAATTCTGGGATCTAACTGCAGATTTATATATATATTATATAAAAATTTTTGGAGCATGTTTGGATGACTATATTTAGAAATAAAGAACTTATATGTAATATATCACATCCAACCACCAATCCATCAATGTTCAACGTTACCTTGCAGAGTGTACTGAGGCCCCTGTAACTCTCCTTCAAATGGACCAGTCTGTAATATCCTGTAATCTAGAGAGCACCTGTCGTGGATTGAGTTGTGCATTAGACGTACCATTCATCAGTAAAACATTTGAATTCTATATGAGACTAGAGCAGTGTGACTACATGTTGAAAGTTGGAATCGAACGTCAACAATATGAGAGAACACTTAAAGGATATGAATGGGGAGAATGGACACATGTTGACCTAAATGGAGTTTTGAAAATGAGGTGAGTTATTGTAAAGTTTTATACCATTCATTTTTAGCTAACCTTGCCCAAGGGCCAAATGAGCTTTTCTCATCACTTGGAGTAAGTTGCATATATGTCCTCCTCTTCTGTTAACTTTGACAAAAATCCTCCTTTAAAACTACTGGGCCAGTTGGAAACAAAGATGGCAACAATCATCCTTGGGGTAACAAGTTTAATATGTCTGATGATCCCAATCGACAACTAACATGGCCTCCAAGGCTAAAAATAGAACATAGGGGTAAAATGCAAATATTGTCTATTATTTTTAAAACCATCTATGTTTATAACATGGGCATAGGACATTCTATATTTCCTATTACGGTATCCCAAATCATAGTAGTGATACTGTATGTGCCCACTACTAGTCTTTGGAAATCATACCAAAATCTCCTTATTTATACTTTAACTGTATTTTTTGCTCACCTTGACCTATGGGTCATGTTAGCTATTGCCATCACTTGGAGTCATTGTAATCTGTCAACATTGTCGTAAACTTTTTCAAAATCTTATCCTCTGAAATCCCATGACTAATTTCGACTAAACTGGACCTAAATGATAAAGTTTGAATTTTTTGTTTGTTTTGCCAATCAACCAAAATGGCCATCATGGCTTAAAATAGAATAAAAGGGTAAAACTTAAACAGAAAGGTAGAATTTGTAAACAGCAATATTGATCAACAAGGCAAGATATATTTTTTACAGGTGAGTTATTCAGGCTCTTAGTTGCTTCTTGTTGTCCCCTATTAGATGCATTGTAGTTGTGGGGAAGGGGAAGATTTAGAAATAACGGGTGTTTGTCCATCAGGTCTTGTCAGCACTCTCACATATACAATTTTATATCATATGTACATATCAGCTATATCTCAGACAAGTTCATAAATCAGTGCCAAACAACTATTTTTTCAAGGAATTATGTTCCTTGGAAATATAAATTCTATAGAAAATTGCATTGAAGCACTCTCAAATTTACCATTCTGGCAAGATACTTATGAAATTTATATCAAAGGTTAGCATAAGCAATATCTTGTGCAATTTAAGAAGTCAGTGCCACTTGGAAATTTCAGTTATATAGAAAATTGCATTGTAAACACTCTCAAACCTGCATTTCTTGTAAAATTGTTATGAAATTTATATCAAAGGTTTATATCAGCATTATGTCTGGGACAATTTCAAAAATCAACAATGATCAATTATTTTTACAGATGTTAAAGTGTCTCTAAAAAATGTAAATTCTACAGTAAATTGCATTATAAGTGCTCTCAAGTGAACAATTCTTGCCAGATACTGATGAAATTTAAAGCAAGTTTACATCAGCAATGTATTAGACAAGTTTGGAAATCAGTGCCAATCAAATAAGAGTTATACTCTTTGGAAAATTAATTATATAGAAAATTGCATAGAAAGCACTCTTGCATCCCAATTTCTTGTATGATTGTTATGAAATTTATATCAAAGGTTTATATCAGCAACGACTTGGGTGAGTGCTCATCAATTAATTAAAAATTATTTCAAGTGTTTGTCTACACTTACAGATTTACAACAATGAAAAGCACTTTAAGTAAAAGTGAAATATTTCTCACTGTCTGGTTTAGAACTGCTATCTCCAAGACAGATCATTGTTTTTGTTTAGAGTGGATGCACAATAATGTTATTTTTACTGTCAGAGTAGGATGTGGCACTACTATTTAAAAAAAACTTTGACAAATTTTTCACCTTTTCTAACAGAAAATGTAGTATTTTCATATTTTTGGCTAATTAAGGAGGATGAAACATGAAATTTTTCTCTTAAACCCCACAGTTATTTCACACTAGGGACTATATTTATAGACAACAAAAATTAAGGGACGATAACTGTGTTCCATGACCTAATAGGATAGAAAGACTTCACCAATCTTAATAAAACTTGGTATGACGAAAGCTTAATGAATTATGAGACTGTTGACCAAGTTTCATGGAAAAAGGATATATATTATAGACAATATGATTAATTTTATATTCAACTTTGCGTGTTAAATTTTGACGTTAAAATTGAAGAATTTCAACTATCAACATTTGGGGCTTTAAAAATGCAAATATTGCAAAAAATTACTTTTTAAATGCCCTAATATTTCACATATCATGTATTAAAAGCAATAGAATACTCATTTAATGTATCAGATTTATTACAATTATTCAAAAGTCAAATTTATGAGCCTGTGCCTGAAAATAGAGGTTTTCGAATGAAGGGGGGCCTTACATGAAGATGTAATATTTTCCAGCAATTTTTAATTTGTGAAGTTTTTTTGTTATAAATAATCCTTCCATATGTATTTAATGTACTTTAAATGGAAAGAAAAATTACAAATAGCATATCATATGAGTATAAAATGGTCTTAGACCAAGTAAGACTGAAAATAATTTAGGGTCAATCTAGGCTGTAGCACATGTTTCCATTTAAAAATGCATACTGAAGCTATAGGAAATAAAAATATTGTTTCATTTTGCTCATTTCTATACTCAGGTGACATGATACAAGAAGTCTGATTACAAAAGGACTCTTGCATTCAACTTTTTTGCAGACAGTATGGTCTGATACAAAGATTTTTCACTTTTCAGTGAAAAACTTGCATGCAATTTTAGTCTCAACAGGCATATATTTGAACCACTTGCTATCCTACAGAAGAAAAGAGAGATAGTATGTGAAATGAAACAGGTACAAAAGACATTGTAAAGTGCTTTTTATACAAATTTAGTGATATCTTTATTATGGACTTCAAATTTTATGTACCAAGCTCCTCACATTTTAGTTGCTTCAAACAGGCCGTTAGACGAGGACCATTCCCACAACACATTTTGCAAATTTTGTCTGTGATAATCTACTTTTCTCTAGATTCAGAGTCCACAAATGAATAATTCAACTGGATTAAAGCCTAGAAACACAAATATTGACACATGAAAACCTGTCAGATAGAAAGTCAGAATGCCGCTTATGCATAAACATTGAAAAGGCTTTGAAATGCTTATTTTGACGATATCATGCCAAAATGGGACATTTTTGCAGAATTTCTATCAAATAAGAGTTTAAATCCTTTAATTTAATGCTGTTTGACAAATTGACACCATTAAATCATTCAGGGAAGTTGCCAAAGTACAGATTCTACATTTACTGATTTCATCTCTTAGGCCCGAGAACACAGTTATTTCGTAGTGCATTTCTTTTAGACAATAAATGAAAATTAAAAAAAAACCCACCCACTTTCTCAATACTATTTCTACAGTGTGGTGTACTACAGTGTGGTGTACTACTTTTGGGACAAATTACGTCAAAATTATAGAAAACTTCATCAGCTCTAACACAAAATATGGACAATTTTATGTTAAGGGGGTCTTGAATTCTTTTGACAGCTTATGAAATACTAATTTTTAACCTTTTTTAGCTGGACCAAATCACTACTTTACCCTAAAATTCATGACCCAAATTTTTTTACAGTGTAATTTCATCCCCCTACTTGCTATTTGAGGCATAAAACATGAAGAAATAAATTTGGAAAGGGTATTAAAAAAAATGGCAAGTAACACACTGTCCACACTAGAGACTATATTTGTAGACAACGAATATCAAGGGACGATAACTGTGTTCCCAGACCCTCTGTATGGTAGATTTTGAAACTGAAAATAAGAATAAAAGGTGATATGGGTTATATGTCAACGACAATAGCTCAACACGAATAACCAAAAAGCATCCAGAGGTCAGGTCTGTCATATCAACTGTCAGAAACAACAGAATCCATTATCCTTTGAAATATATAAGTTACGTCAGAAACACAATTATGAATAAGTTATGCGTGTGGTTTGTAAGATCTTTGATCTGTCATTCATTTTATTTACCTAACAGAACTGTTTAACTTTAAACTTGAAATAAAATACTTCATATCTCGTTAAAATCAGTAATGATAAGCTTTGTCAAATAAAACTGTTGTTATGTTAAAAAAAGTATCAATTATAGGGTTATCGTTGATCTTGAAGTCAAGTATGTGGTCACAGGTGAAGAAAATCGGTTAGCGCCCTTTGTTTAAAGGATTTATTATCATTTTTTTTGTGATTTAAAATAGATTTTGGTTATTTAAAGAAATGAATTTAATAGTTGGTTCATTATCTTTTGATTTTATCTTTGATTAGAATCAAATTTTTGAAAATCTTTGTTTTTTTGCAGAATGTCATTTAATATTACACTAGATACTTGAAAATATAGAGTTTTGAGAGGTATTTATACAGTTTAGGTTTGATTGTAATATGTCTGGTCCGGAAGACAGAATGCTATCATACTTCCTAGAAAAGAGAGGAAAAAAATCAGACAACCCAGAATGTTAGATGTTGAAGTCTATAAATGTTCACCCAAAACTCATCCTAAATATGCATTCAATAACAACATACATTAATCAAGTAACAATCATTCATGTTCACCCATAACCATTTAAACCTATAAAGTTCTGCTTAAACATGAAAATAAATTATACTTCCAAAAATGTTAAATGTCAAAGTGTGTAAATGTTCACCTAAAACTCATCACAAATATGCATGAAATAATTGATACTAGACTGAAGCTAGCAAAAATCATTTATGATCACCCATAACCATTTAACCCTATAAAGTTCTGTTATAAATTTGACCAGCGTTTTATTTTAGCTTATCGGGAGATTATAATTTTAAGATATCTTGATAAATTTTGTTTGTGTGTCTTAAGTTTTAAGATAGAAAAAATTTAAATGACTGTTTCTGAAAAATTATTACCTCATTATTCTATTTTGATACAAAAAAATTTAATGAAATAATATCAGGTGATGATATTAAGTTTTTGCAGTGAAAAGCATTGATTGAATAAGTCATTTTTTCTATTTACAAGATTTGGTTAATTTTTTTGTAAAACAATTGTGTTTGATACATGTTTTTTTCTGAAAAAAAGAATAAATGTATTTACACTTTTGGTATTTACCGGTAGCTATATTTTGCCTCCGAATGACCTTAGATCTACTCCGAATCACCTTTTGACGTCAGGCAACAATCACTTTTTATTTGTGACGTCATATGTTTTGAATTATGATGTCAAAGTTTACGGGAACCTGTGTGATTTTACGTAATGGCGGACAAATATGTCCAATTAAGAGGGGGGGGGGGGGGGGGGGTGTTAGGGGGAACTGCACTGAATGTCTGAAACTTTTGATAATTGCACTAAAATTCGCAAGAATGTGACTTCTTAATGTGTAAATAATTAATGAAAGCTTAACCATGGATAGTTGCTTACATCTATGTCATTTGGTCTCTGATGGATAGTTGTCTAATTGGAAATCATACCATATCTTCTTATGCTCCCTGAAAAAGTTCAGGAACATATAATAATCGCTTTTGATTGATTGGAATTAAACTTATACTGATATGAAAGACATTGAGATGGCTAAGAAGTCTATTGATTTTGGGATCAATAGGTCAAAGTTCAAGTTACTAAAAATATGAAAAAATGGGGAAAACAGTTTTTAGAAAATCAGCTTTATTATATTTTTCAGTTTTGTTCTCCATGACTTGTATGCTGAGCCTGCATTCCTGATTTCTATGAAGCTGAGTTTGTGTTGGGAAGCTAACCAGCCATGTGGAACTGTATACAATATCTTTGATAAAGTCAGACTTCCAAAGAAAGTGTGTGACTGGGACAAAAAGTTCTTACAAAATGGTAGGTATTCAGGAAAATGGTTATGAAAGAAAATAATGAGGGATTGCTTTATATATGATCTAGACCATATGAGTATTTGGACCATACTCGTATGGTCATGACCACATGCATTTATATTCATATGGTCTGACCATACACGCGAGTAGTTAACATGATGAACATAAAGTGTCCCATAAATTAAGAGTTTCTAAAAGTTAATCAGCCATGTGGAACTGTAATAATACCAAAAGAGGTGTGTGATTAGGACAAAAAAAATTTACAAAATGGTATGTTTTCAGGAAAATAATTATAAAAGAAAATAATGATGGATTGCTTTGTATATAAATAAAGAGATACAGGCTAACAAGTGGCATGATTGCCAATGAGACAACCATCCACCTTCACAGAACAATGAACGATGATATAAACAATGATAGGTCACCTTACAACCTAATGATCAGCAAAATTTATATTTCTTGGAAAGCATATTTGGTAACTTTACAGGTTATATGCTATTCTGAAATATTTGACTTAATTGAAAAATGGAAACTTGATTGTTATAAAAAGGTTGTTCGAAAATTACAAGAAATATTTGGGTTCATAATTTGAGTTGGCCAGCTGTTAAAACAGATACAATGTACCTACATGGTGTAATACCACCATTGATTTTACCCTATTAGTCTTTGTTAAATTTGCACTTTTCAAAAAATTGTGCAGAATTTATCTTTGTTTCAAATAAAGAAATACTTGGCATGAGTAAAGTTTTATCCTGTCCAGTACTATAGAAAAAATTTCACATAACATTTCATTGCATATAAGAAAATAACCATCACTGGAAGTTAACCAATCAAATTTTCCCCCTTTTTTGACCTGTGTACAAGCTTTAGTAACCATGTAACCTCAAGTTTCCAAAATATTTTATAGAAACCCCAAATAAAAAAATAATGGTGCTTTGAAATACCCAAGATATATGTTTATGACCCAGAAATGTTTTACTGCAATGAAATGTAGGATCAATTACCTACAACTGTCAAATTCAAGGGAATATTTTTTTAGACCTATTTTCGTATGCAACCGGATGTGACGTACTATGATTTGGTGGTATTACACCTAAAGAAGACTTTTTTGTTAAATAAACTGAATGTGACTTTATTCCTTTGTTATACTGGTTATTTCAAGCATTCCTGTCAAGTTTTGTTATAATCAGTTCAATAATTTGAGAAAAATCTAGTATAATGTTAGACGACATCTACAGCGATTCGAGCAAAATTTCTTCTAAAAATCCAAACCCAGCCGCATCATGATAGAATATAGTGTGGACCAATAAATGATCAAATATTTATCTCATCTGCCTACAAACAGTTGAATATGATACAAAAGATGACTTTAGGATGATAAATAGTACTAATGGACCTCTTTGTCTTCCTTATAAGGTCTCTTTTGGTCCATTTATACCTCTCATTTCCTCAAAATTTCTACTTTTTAGGCCAATAAATAAAAATTTTGGGGTAACTTTCACTCATTTATGATAGAAATGTTATAATAAATGATTAATTGAAGTATTCAAGCTGAATGAACTATCCGTATGAAAGTTTGCTGTCTCCAAGGAGGTTACAATAAGTCCTTACGTAAAACTTAAATTTACGCCGCGTCCCAGAGAGGGAAATAAAAAGCTTCTCTTTTGGTGAATAATTTGTTGTTACTGCTTTAAAAATAATTTCATTTACTTAAAACTATATATTTATTTAAGTATTTCTTAGGAAAAAATTTCTAGTATAGCAGAATATAATAAATAAGGAGAAAAAGCTCACCCAAACTCTAAGTATGGCTTGTTCTGTCAACTAATATTCATGGTAAAGACCTATTTCAAGGAAATTTTCTTATAAAATGTGTTTTGGAGACTCAATCCACTCAGAATATTTCATTATTTGTAATATTTCACTTAAATAGCAAGAAATTTTAACACATGAGAGTACTCACAAGGTCAAAAGTGCATGTACAGCTTCCCATATTAGGTGTAATACCACCATTGATTTTCCCCTATTAGTCTTTGTTAAATTTGCACTTTTCAAAAAATTGTGCAGAATTTATCTTTGTTTCAAATAAAGAAATACTTGGCATGAGTGAAGTTTTATCCTGTCCAGTACTATAGAAAAAATTTCACATAACATTTCATTGCATATAAGAAAATAACCATCACTGGAAGTTAACCAATCAAATTTTCCCCCTTTTTTAACCTGTGTACAAGCTTTAGTAACCTCAAGTTTCCAAAATATTTTATAGAAACCCCAAATAAAAAAATAATGGTGCTTTGAAATACCCAAGATATATGTTTATGACCCAGAAATGTTTTACTGCAATGAAATGTAGGATCAATTACCTACAACTGTCAAATTCAAGGGAATATTTTTTTAGACCTATTTTCGTATGCAACCGGATGTGACGTACTATGATTTGGTGGTATTACACCTACATACACTTTATTTTAGTCTATAGACAATTTTTCTTTCAACTATCTTAAAAAAAAGAATTCCACAAACTGTTTTGTATCCTTTTCAGACTTTTCACTGAATCAGTACAAGACAGACAATGGTATTTCTACCCTGGATGAACATCATGTGTCGGATATTCTACGCTTAACTGGTATTTCACAGTACATGAAGAGGAACCCATGTAGTAGGACTGCAGCTCCTTACACTGGGGCTGATGGAAACAACTGGAAAAATGGTGAGTGATATTTATATAGTATTAATCTGGAATAAACTGAGAAAAAAGCTGGTATTTTTTTTAACAAATTTTGAAATATGAAATTAAAATTAACAGAACAAATGGTCAGAAAATAATATTAACAGAAAGAAAATGTAGAAGAAAAAATTCTGTATGCCTTGAAACATTTTCCTGGTAAATTAAGAAGATATGTGCATTGCTTTTGAATCAATTTTTTGCAACATATTCATTAAATTTCAATGTGACTGCAACCCTGCAATTAAGGTTTTACAAAATATACTCCGGAAAGTCTCCATTTGACCTACACTGATGAACAAGCATCTTCTCAAAAAGGCAAGCTCTGAATTATAAACCATGTGTGACGTAAAAGAAAACTCAATGAAAAAAAAGGTGATAAAGAGTATAGTTCAATGAAACAGCAACCCAATGAAACAAAGAACCAAAAGGACATCTAGAGGTCAACATATGTTTTTCAACAATAAACAAGTGTCTATACGCGATGTCAAGCTCTATATCACGCCAAGTCTGATAAAAATTGTGAATAATTTTAACGAGAATTATCACCATGGATCTGCCATTAATCCCAAATTCTCCATATGTAAAAAACATGCATTGAAGACCCATTGGTCGCCTTCAGCTGTTGTCTGCTCTATGGTCGGGTTGTTGTCTCTTTGACACATTCCCCATTTCCATTTTCAATTTTATTAAGATGTGATATGTTTATTTTAGATTGTGCTGATCCTGTTGGTTCTTTATTAAATTTGGGTAGTGATACCACATGTCACATTGACTCATCGTGTACAGCTGTCAATTGTTGTTTGGATTCTACTAACCTTGGACTGACCTTCAACGGATATGTTAGACTGGATCCATGTAACTACAAAATATATATCGGACTGGAGGGTATTGACTTAGACTATACACTCATCGACTTTAGCTTTGGTACTGTGCAACATTATGCCATGAATGAAGTTCTTAATCTAGAGTAAGTAATGGAAATGAAAGTCAGCCACTAACTTGTTTTTAGTATGCCAGTAAGAGAGCAAAATTTAGTAAATCATCTTAGCAATTAAAAGTGTATAATCTATGTTTCATTAAAATTGACATACAAGAATCATGGTTTTTGTCTCGCCTTGACGGAGTCAAAAAGCGAGACATAGGTATGCGGTTTCCGGCGGTGGCGGCATCTACAATGTATTAGTTTGTGATTAGGTCTAGTTCATGGTGAACCACTAGTGGTAGGTCAATGATATTTGGTATGCAGTTGTATTAGCATTGGCACATCTCATTACCATGGTGATTATTTGGCCCCGCCCCCTCAGTCAAGGTCTATTGACTTTGAAACTTTTCATAGTTTACATACAATTGAGAATGGAAATGGGGAATGTGTCAAAGAGACAACAACCCAACCATAGAGCAGACATGTATTAGTTTGTGATTAGGTTAATTTATGGGGAACCACTAGTGGTATGTCAATGATATTTGGTATGCAGTTGTATAAGCATTGGCATATCTCATTTCCATGGAGATTATTTGGCTCCGACCCTTAGTCATGGTCTATAGACTTTGAAAATTTTGCTAAGTTAACATGTATTAGTTTGTGATTAGGTCTAGTTTATGGTGAACCACTAGTGGTAGGTCAATGATATTTGGTATGCAGTTGTATTAGCATTGGCACATCTCATTACCATGGAGATTATTTGGCCCCGGTCCCTCAGTCAAGGTCTATTGACTTTGAAACTTTTCATAGTTTACATGTACAATGTATTAGTTTGTGATAAGGTCAATTTATGGGGAACCACTAGTGGTAGGTCAATGATATTTGGTATGCAGTTGTATAAGCATTGGCATATCTCTTTTACATGGAGATTATTTGGCTCTGCCCCCTTAGTCATGGTCTATAGACTTTGAAAATTTTGCTAAGTTAACATGTATTAGTTTGTGATTAGGTCAGTTCAAGGGGAACCATTAGTGGTAGACGAATGTTAATTGGTGTTCAGTTGTAGAAGCATTAGCACATCTCATTTCCATGGAGAATATTTGGCCCCGCCCCCTCAGTCATGGTCTATTTACTTTGAAACTTTTGCTTAGTTTACATGTATTAGTTTGTGATTAGATCAGTTTAAGATGAACTGCTAATGTTAAGTCAATGATATTTGGTATGCAAATTTATTGACATTTGCAAGTATTGTTTCCATGGAGATTATATAGCCCCACCCCTGATCATGGTTCATTGACTTTGAAACTTTTACATAGTTTACAAGTTAATGTTAATGTTTGTGTTTAGGTTTGTTTAAAAGGAACGACTTATAATAAGTCAATGGTATTTTGTATGCAGTTGTATTAGCATTGGCACATCTCATTCCATGGAGATTGTTTAGCCATGTACCTTCAGTCATGGTTCATCGACTTTGAATATTTGCATAACTTACATGTTAAAGTATTGCATTTTAATTTCAACATTTGCATTATCAAAATTACAAAAAGGCGAGACATATCTCTGTGATAACAGTTTATTTAATATATACAAATTATTTTGGAAAAAAACTAATCCATTTTATATAGAAGCCTTATGGAATT